CTTTCAAAATGAGATAATAAACATAGTTTTGTATAAATTTTAAAATATCTGCAACTTAATGACTATGAATAATCGAGAGTATTTTGTGATTATCTTACATTTATAAAATTAAAAAATTATAAATAGAATTATAAATAGAAGATCAATAATATTCTAGAAAACATGGCAACACAAGAAAAATGTATCTAGTAATCCAATTCTGATGAACAAACACTAACAAATATAAATTGTTTTTCTTCATAGACAAATTTTTTAATTGAACTATAAGTATTATTAAACGAACACAATATATTTTTACATAGCATTAAATAAATTCCTAGTTTACGTATCAAATTTATGTCCATAAGGATTTACTATATGTTACAATTTAACATAGTAAAAATATACATAACATTTATTCACAAGCTTATGAGTATATTGCTAACAAGTATTTGTACAAATTTTATATATATTTGTATTTTATAAAAGAAAAATTCTTATATTACCATTTTTTTTAAGATACTAAGATGATACTAAAATATTAAACAAAAAAATGATAGCAGAATAAACAAGATTCAGCTGTTGCTAAATTGTAAATAAACGTGGGACAAAAAGAAAATAGAAAAAGAAAATAGAAAATGAAAGAAAACATCGTATGTGTAATGTAAAATGATAAAAATAAATAAGTACATAATTAGGATATGGATAGCAAGCTCTCTCAATATTTATCATAACTGAATCATTGAGAATTGTCGAGAAATCGAATATTTTCTATAATATTTTTTGTAATATATCCTACCTCATTATTGCAATTACATGATTACTCTCTGATAAAATTTAATTCAATTATAAAATGTAATAATTATATATGTTAAATACAATGTTTCAATACAAAATTCGAGTATATATTTAGTTAAAAGCTTTAGATTCATAATTTTTAAATAAGGACATTTTATGGCATCATTATAATTATTAATCAAAAAGTTCATTTTTTTTTAAAGATGAGTAGCTTTGGTAATAGAAAATTAAAGTAAACTATAAATCTTATAGAAATAAATAAATATTAAATTATTATACTTAATGCCGATTTAGTTATTTCAAAATATTAATTTGTATGATAACATAAGCCTTATCTACTACAAATTTAAAATGAGGTATTTACATAATTATATATTCACTTTGATACAAAAAACAACTTGCAATTATTTCTAAAATTCTTACTAAATAAACATATTCATGACTCGTTACGCACAAAATCAAAGAATATGTATATATCTTTAACAACAATTTATACATCTTTAATTAGATTCTGATGGAACTGCTGGCAGAACATGCACTTGTTGTGCTTTACTGGCATTATATACTTGTCCCGGACTAAATGGTTCTAATCGAGGACCAGATCCTAAATCATTTTTATTACGGACGATATCTTAAAATGGAAACAAATAAAACAATTACAGAAATTTATACAACTTAGAAGTAAACGTAATATTTTTTTCTTTCAAATTATAATTGATAATTTTCGATGAAATTAGATAAGTTTGTTCACAAATTAAATAATGTACGTAATATTTAGGCATAATATGCAAAATATTTAACTTACCATTTTTCGATTCTGTTGCAGGTATATACCGAGATAGTCTAACAACAGGGAGAGGCAAATAACCACTTGTCAGAGGCATTACATCTAATGTAACGCTTTGTTTTTCTACTATTTCTAATGATACAATGCCTGCTGTCCGACCACATACCGCCCACATAGTTTGGTCCGCCAAAACCTCGTACATTAACTGTGGTGGAGGATTTGAACTAAGACTAGGTATGCGCATGACTGTAAGACACAAGTGGCATATACTACCAGCACGACAAAACTCTCCACCACTTGTTTCAACTTTCGAGGATACTGTGAATAAAGTCTGGAAAGCATCGTTACAAAAATAAGTTATATATTCCTAATATATAATAAGAATACAGAGCATAAATTTTTACAAATAGCATAGATACTACATTATTACAGATTACCATTAATCCATTCTTATTTAAAATAAAATATTTTGAAGAAAATATACAATATGTAATTGTATACATTTAACATATCAATTAATAATTAGTAGTTTTTCTTACCACATAATCTGTAATATCAAAGTTGCATCTGTAAATACTACATGCTTTCTCAATTCTTTCTAGATTATGTATATGTAGTGGATCATCATCAACATGTGTATCATTTAATTCTTCAGTATCATTAACTGATATATATTTTACACGAAAATCAGTCTTTATTGGTATCGTGGATTTTTCATCTTTCCCAATTTCAAGTTCCCACATAAAGGAAACATTCATTCCATTACCTATAATTAATTTCTGACCCGCGATAGGATTTAAACTTTTAAAGTTAACGTCTATTGACGAAACTGTCATTAATTCAGGCTCAGTTAATTGTAGAAGCTGACTTGTCAAACCAGTTACGACTATTTGAATGAATTTTCTTTGTTTTGCTGTGTGAAGTTTCATACTCGACATTAATGGTGGACCAAAATGCAAAAGTATACTTTCTTCCAAACCCCATGGACATTGAATATTCAACTGAAAACAATGTCAAGTTATGATATTTATTGCACAAAAGATAATAATATAAATTATAAGTGTTAAATACTTTATGTTCCATAGATGAAGAATCCTTCTTTGGTGGTAGTTCAGCTAAAATCTTTAACTGTATTTTTATGGTTTGAAATGGTTCGCACGTTGGCAGTGGTATCTCTAACTCTTTTACCATTACTTTTTCAACACTTTGTGACTGTACTGTCAGTCCGCGCGATGTACGTAATTTTAATTTCATTTCTTCGGTTATTTTTGTACTTCCGCTCGATATAACCAATTCAATATCTTGAGAAAGACCTGCCAATAAATCTCTGCCACATTTTACGGATATCGTTGGCTGTGTCTTTGCTACTTCGTAGCATAATCTTGGATTTAGTACAGATGATAAAAATTCTAATTTTTCTTCTATCACCAATGATAACTGGCTAACTTTGTACAAACCCGGTTGATTCACTCGTCTTGTTGCGACAAATGTATTTACACCAGGTTTCATAACAAATTCATCACAGAAAAGTGCTTTGCTAAAATCACCCTTTATATTAATTGAAGGTTTTCTATGTTTTGCACTATCTGAACGTCTCACGAGCGGCTTCATGTTTTTACTAATAACGCTAGCAGAACCAAGACTTCTATCTTCCTTGTAATCCAAATAAGAATATACTTGCAAACGTAATAAACTGAGATCAAGTTTCATATCTTCTAATGTACACTTTGATAACCTGAGCAACAAAACAAAGTTGAACAAAAATTTAACATATAGAAAATAGAAAATACTAAAAAAATAAAATAAGCACTATTGTAAATGATATTAAAATAATAATATAAATACATTATCTTTTACAATTTCATTTTAGAATTTTTTCTCTGTAGTATATATTAAACATTATATATGAGATTTTTGTAAATAAAAGTATTTATAATTTCATTCATTAATACTTACAATTGAACTGGAGGGTCAATAGATTTTAATCCTTTTTTCTTATTAGGTATAGATGGCTTTTGTATTTCCTCTACAGAAATAGCAGCGCTAGTGCATCTTACTTCTCGAGGAAATAAACTCTGTACACTGATTTCAACGTTAACTACACAGTCTTGAACTATTTTATCCATTACTTTAGCTTCCATACTGAGTATTGTAAAAGCACATCCGAGTTCCGCGAGTAATGGTTGAGGCGAAGAGATCATTTTCATATATCCTAACATTTCTTCCAAATATGTATTGCGTACAGTTATATGCAAAAGACTTGCGCTAGCTACTGCCGCGCACACTTTAGTATATTTCTCGACGTCGTCCATCCGTTTGTAACATTCGGCTAGCTCCAACTGTGTTTGCACTGCCAAGTGATGCCATCCTTCCTCCATATAAGTTTTTAAAGCATCAGATAAAAATGCTACTGCTTTCTGATTTTCTCCGAGTTCGCTGTAGAATCGTGCCAATTCTTTGCCAATTAATCTGGCTGATCGAATACGGCCGACATGTTTGTATGTGCCCATGGCTAATTCTGCATGTTCCAAATATTGTTTCTTGAATGCTTCTTTGGATGAAAGTGCTTCTTTTAACTTGTCTGTAGGGGTTAATTTTCTTTCTATCTGCGGCTCTGAATCTCCTATACCTGCTATAAGATACACAACTGTATGCAACTGTTCACTAGTCGGTTCACTTCCTGGCATTAGGCCGCACAATTTTCCTAAGC